GCTCCCTCGGCCTATAAAGCGAGATGAGTGCCACAACCCCAGAGTTGGTCACAACTGGACCTAATGGTCAGGGGTCCCTTTACCTTTACCTTACTTTATGTGATATAAATATTTTGTCTGTGGGGTTTGAACTGTGATTTTTTCCCCCTGAGACTCTGCATAAAAAGTCAATGAAAATGCATTTTAGAAAACCATTCTAGAATCCTTTTCAGGTCAGGGAAACTGCTTCTAAACATAGAGGTTCCCTCTTTTGATCAAGACCATTTCTGGGCCAATCTGTGGATTTGCAGACATACTCAGACCATGGTATTCTATTCTTAAGCATAGCATATTGGTACAAAGCTAACTTGGTTGCCTTAAAAAAAAATACATTTCTGGAGCAGCAGCTCCACATCTTCTCTGCCATGCTCTGACAAGATTTAATTTCCTTCTTTGCTGAGAAAATGTAACTATTTTGGAAGGTTGAATTGGAGCCATCTCTTCACTGCCAGATAAATTGGATCTACTTCTTGTCAAGCTGCTTTGGGTGCTGATGCACTTGGAGTTAGCACAGCCTCTGTTGGACAGCTGTTGTTGAGAATGCAAATGCTGGGACTTCTCAAGAGTCTTGCAGCAGCTCCCCAAACCGCTTCAGCAAAGTCGAGGGCTTTTACTGCCATAGATGCACAGCAGTGGGATTTTTGCAAAAAGGAGGCATTTAAGTGCAGCTCAAAAGTAAGCTGCCTTCAGGACCAGGCTGTTTGCTTTCGTTCTCTAAATCTGCAGGCTTCTTGTAGTGCATGCTCAAAAAGAAGTGGCAGCTTTATTGTTTAAGGTTTTATTAGTATTCCTGCTGCTCTCTCCTGCAACAGCTGCAGACGACGCATTCAGCAAAGACATCTCTCTAAGCTTCAAAGTGCAGGAGCTGTGCACACAGAAACGACTGAGGCTGTAACTGGCATCAGAGATCAGCAAAGTCAACAGAGACTAAGTGCTGTCCCATTTGACAGCCTCTGTTACCCACTGTGGGGCAAGCACTCGCCTCATTTTAACGTGATGGTTTAACAGGTAGATTGAATAAGCAACCATAGCTGCTGCAGCATAGTAACAAGAGCAGGAGAAAAGGGGAGTTTAGAGGTAATCTGAAATTTTTCAGAGGAGAGTTTTTGGGAGATGTTTTAGATATTTTCTCCCCACACCCAATTTTGCTAAAAGAAAAATCTGCACTGTTTTTTGTGGCAACCACTATTTCTACCTCCCCACACCAATGCTCTAGAAGGTTAGGAGAATTATGGGCAGGGTGGGCAGAGTGATGGTCAGGCTGCCTGTCCAGGAATGCTGCTGCCATTTGCATGAGTAGCAACAAAATAAGAATAGGAGGTATAAGCTGTGTTGGTGAGCTCCACTCCCAAGAAACCGTTAAGAGGATTTTGCTCCCCTCTATGTTGAATATTCAATGAAATCTCATTCGCCCAATTTCACCACTCATGAATACAGCAGAGAATTTTCTCTTGGCTCTTTTTACTTAAAGTTAACCATGGATGGGGAACTTGTGAACTTCCTGATGTTCTTGAACTCCACCATTCCTGTTGGCCTTTCTGAAGGCACTATTATTTTGTCCCAAAAAGAAACATTTTAACAGCTTTCTATGTATGCCCTTCAAACATCCTTATGCATCAGGGATCGGCCCTGTTCTCTGGTGCTTCTCCTAGACATATCAATGTCCTTATTTTGCTGAGAAGTCTGTTTGGGGTGTCCTGTTATAAACTGTACAGTGGTACCTCGGGTTACAGATGCTTCAGGTTACAGACCTGTAACCAGAAATAGCCAGAAATAGTACCTCGGGGTAAGAACTTTGCTTCAGGATAAGAACAGAAATTGCACGGTGGTGGCAGCACAAGGCCCCATTAGCTAAAGTAGTACCTCCGGTTAAGAACGGTTTCAGGTTAAGAACGGACCTCCAGAGCAAATTCTTAACCCAAGGTACCACTGTATTAGTTTTTGCATAAGTGGACCAGGGTTGCCATTCTTGGTGTTTCCATTCTCATCCCTAGGTCTCGAAAAGTAAAACTTCTGCATGGGGACAGACAGCTTGATTCCAGAGCATATGCACGTGCATGCAGTGCATATACATGAACAGGGCAATCCTATGTCCTCTGATTCTGGAGTAAGGCACACTGAAATCAATGGGATTTACTGCTGAATAAACATGTATGGGATTAAAATATACAGCATCCTTTAGAAGAAAGCATAGTATTCCCTATGCTGCAGGGAAGTTGAGCTTGAAGTGTTGAGCTATAATGTATTATAGACAATTACAGGTTTTTTTAGTGTACATAGGTACCTTGGTTTATGAACAGCCCTGTTAACTAACTATTTGATTTACAAACTCTGCAAAACTAGAATTAGTCTTAGCGAACTTTACCGCAGTTTACAAATGGAAGCTGAAAGGTGGAAGGGCACCAGCGGCAGGAGGCCTCATTAGAGAAAGTGCACCTCGGTTTAAGAACGACTTTGGTTTAAGAACGGACTTCCGAAATGGATTAAGTTCGTAAACTGAGGTACCACTGTACCTTTGATCAAAGCGAACAAACAAAAATATGCTTTTAAAAGCATACAATCACTAAGTCCAGACTGTGGCTGTAGGTTCTTGCTTGGCCATTTAAACACCAAATGACAACATACTGCCTCTCTTCCCCTTCCTTTGTTAAGAGCCTATCCAAATAGTAAGCCTTGCTGTGTGTAAAGAACAGACTATTGCATAGCAAGTGAATATAGTATGTAGAAAATAGCCGTCACCAATGCTCAGAGGTTGGTTCTAGTGAAATCCTGCATAATATGGGGGGGGGGGATAATCTGTGAAATATTGTGTGAAGTATAATATGATTATGATAAGCAGAAAATCAAACACCTGGATCGTGGATGAACTGGTAGATATTCGGGTAAGGCAATAGAGCAACATCCTCTTTTGCTGCAGCAATAAAACTGCTAGCATGTCTTGAAAGCTAAGCAGAGTCCAGTATGGTTTCAAATTGGATGGGGAACTGTTTGTTGACATTCCTACTTTGCAGGGGGTTGGGAAACATTTCTATTCCTCAATATAAGATACAACTGGTTATGAATGGGTTATTAATGAATCCAGATATTACGACTGGTTACTAAAGCAACTAATTTAATTTGCTTCAATGTTATTTTTTAAAAAGAACACAATATTGCAACAGCTACAAACTGCTTATAAACCATATTAACTTTTTTAAAAAGAAATGGGTATGAATGTGCTGTAGAGTTGGGCTTATGAAGTTCTACAACCATCTCGCAGTGATGTGCTTTTGCAACCTGTCAGAATTTCTTCAGGTGATCAGATGGTACACTTTTGAAATGCATTGGGGACAACTTGGGGATTCAAAAGTTGTCAGAATTGCCAAATAAAGCCATACACACACACACACCTTGTAAGATGGACCCAGTGGGAATAAAGGCCTTCTTTTGTAAAGAGTTACTGCTTGGCACATAACAGGAAATTATAGGGCTCCAATTGATTAAAGGTCAAAGGCTGACCTAGGTTACAACCAGACATTTCAAACCATTATTACCAGTGTTTTGCCCACCAATTGTTCAAGCAGTAGAAGAGGCAGACATGTATTTTACATTCTAAAAGCTCCACACACACCCCTTTCCCTTTTCTTTAAGGGGCTGATAAGAGGGAGAAAGAGCAAGAGAGCTCAAAATCTTCACTTACTCATTTGTGCATTGCCATATGGCCACTGACTGGAAGCAATCTGTTCATTATTATTTTTTAATGTTACTCAAAAACTCAGCAAATCATCATGATGATTGCCACCAAAATGCAATAGATGAAAGGCTGTTTTATATCTATATCAGGAAGTTCCATAGGTAACTAAAATTCTAGAAGTAATATTCATTGCTGAATGGTATAAAGAATGCATTTTCTTTTCCCACCCCCATGCATATATGGAGTGATCCAAGGCTGCAAGCCCAACCATGTCTACTCAGTGGTACGTCCCACTTAATTCAATGGGATTTACTCCTGGGTAAGTGAGGTTAAAGAAGCACCCTAAGTCATGTTGTTATCTTTCACACTCGGTTATCACCACCCCTCACCCCTGCATCATGTGTTTTGAATTACACTCAAATGTAGTTTGTTATAATTTTTGACAATTGCTGTGGTATTACTCTTTCGGAATCAAGAAATTTCTTTGGAGAGATAATTACATTTCCTAAGATGTTTTTTGCATGTTAATCTTGTGTTTCTTCAGATGATAGCTATGAGTAAGGATGGGTGAGCAATTTGTTCTGTTTGCACTTTAATGTGAGCCTATCTAACTTATCATTCCTGGGCCAATGTGTGAGCTAAAATGCAGCTACCTTTCAAAATCTGCACATCTGTGAATGTTGTGATGCAAGTTCTCCAACCAAAAAAATGTAAAAGTATGCAGATGATAGAGAAAAGTACCCTCAACAATGTCTTTAGTGGAAACATCTTATCAAAACACATTCTATTGAGGGATATGGCTTGCAAACAATGTGTACACTGTATTAGGAAAAACTGCACACCAAGTTGCACATAAAAACATGCACAAATTTTCATTAAAAACCCCCACAAACTGACATGGAGATGGAACTGAATTCAGAAACATGAGAAATGGAGAAAAGCTGAAAACAGCAGATTTATTTATCTTCATCCCTAGGCAAGAGCAGATGATCACAACGAGGAAAAACAATTGTCTTCATTGTTTAGTCACGTTCGACTCTTAGCTATCCAGATTATAGTGAGCATCACAAGGAAGAGCAACTTTGCCAAAAACGCTCAACAACTTTTGTGTCCAGATTTTCACTTTTTGAAATATGGCAACCCTAATCTTGCACTCTTGATATAGGATGCAAGACAATCAACAGTCTGGAAGGCAGTTTGGGGTGAAATGCCTGCTCCTCTTGCAATGCCCTAGCCTTTGGAATGAGGAGGAGAGGTTGTTAGCAGCATTCTAAGGCAGTTAGAATCCGTTTGATTCACTTGAGGGTGGGCAATGAAAGGTGAGGAGTGAGAGAGAATTTGTGATATAGCAAGTTTACTTGGAGTAGGAAAGGAACAGTTGTTAATGGTGATGCCAAGAAGTGCCACTGCCATCACAGAGATCAGAGCTGCTGAGGATATAAGCATATGAAGCTAGGAGAGGGTTGGAGAGGCTTAAGAGATGATTGAAGTGGCTGCCAGCTGCGATTTCCTATTTGCCAAGGACTAGACCTGGAAATACTGAACTATGGACCCTCCTCTTAAGAATCAACATGGCCTTCTTCCAAGGTAAAACCTGCATTTTAGACTAGCTTTGGGGGGGGGGGTACATTATTGATGCCTGTGGCATGTGGTGACATTTTCCATAGGCGAAAAATTAGGGCCAGAGGTGCCAGTGATTGCAGGGAGGAAACGTATGTGAGCATCACGCCTCCTTCTCAAAGCTGGGCTTTTTGGGAAAGTGGCAGAAGAGCTCTTGGGCCCCCTTGGAGAATCATACCTCTCTCCCTACTCTAATTTACTGGGAATCTTTAGGAGACTAGCCTAGTCCCCCTAGTCCACTGACCACAAGCCACTGATCAATGCTGATGTTGTAATAGTTTATCAGAAGAACACTTCCACATGAGTTTGGCCAGAGTCTTGAAGAAGTCCTTTCTCTTTCGGGTGGGGATCACATATGGTTTGCTACATATGCTAACCAGCCCTATATGAACACCCCCAGCCTATCCCTGCATATTTGTAATGATGTGGATTTCAGAGAGTAAGAGACAGAGAGGTGGTGAAACAACATCTGTTACTGGTTCAATTCATTGTTAGCTGAGTTATTGTTGCGAATTAGCCACAGCCTAGTGAAGAAAGACTGCAATTATGGCTGATCTATGAAGTGCTTTTTTTTCCCCTAAAAAAAATGTTTAGGTGTAGTCTCATTTTAACTCAAGAAAATCACCATGTTATTGTTCAAAACAGGAAAAATAAATACAGTAAATGGACAAAAGTACAAAGATTCACAAAATGTTTAGGGGTATGCATACCTCTGTGTATCCCCAGAAAAAAGCACTGGATCTATGTATTGTATTTCTAGATTTCAGCATGCTTTATAATGTAATAGAGCATTGCTTAGCTTCAGTCATTCAAAGCACTTTTAGCCCACTCTTCGGTTAAAAAGTCTCCCAGAGCAGCTCACAAAGATGAAAAATAAGACAGTGCCTACCCTCAGTCCTACAGTCCAAAAGATGCAACACAAAAAGGAAAAAGGACTTGAAGCGCAGAGGGGAAAGAGCATACTCAGGCAAGTTCTTAGTTACAATATGACACTGCCACTCCCAGAGCAAATGGACTTGCTGTGAACAGAAGCTTCATTCCTTATACTGTATACTTAAATCCTTGTGGTATAGGTGACCAGCAAGACAAGGTTAAACAAAATCATTGCCAAGGTGGAGGAGGGGGAAGTGCTCACTTTATAAAATTAAACTTATAAAGTGATAAGATCTATCTGTACCATTTTCAAAATTAAATATAAAATATTTCATTATACAGTGTGTGTCCATGAAGAATGGGACCTGTTTTGTGAACTTGTCCTGGGTCTGGTGTGTGGCTCGGAAAATGATGAGAGATACGATGTCACCTATTCTCTGTGCAATAATAGATCTGTCGGAGTATGACACATAGAATTAGACTTTCTGCTGTGATTAATCAAGTCCACTCAAAGTAGAAATGCTACCATCTCACACTATTGCATGAAACCAGTAGGGTGCAATATATTCATGAAAAAGGCACTTGGAAAACTGCAGTGGAAGCCATTATCTTCTGCACTGTAAGGCATTTTGCCTCTGGAAAATATCTTACTACTGCTACCAACATTTAAATTGAAATTAAGAAGCAAAACTCTGTGTTGACTTGAGTACAATTCTATATAACTTTCTGCAGATTAAGAGAGACGTAAGAACCGATAGTACTTTCCAGATTTGGCTTTCTTTTCAACCTTTTTCCTTCCACTTCTTAAGATATTTCAAAGTTATTTCAATAAGATCAATAAGATCATCGTAATAATAAGTGTAATTCTACCAGCCTTTTGGAGAAAGCTTGGATGAATTAGCCATTTATCTTCACTATAAAACACATAGATGGTCACTATGATCCAACTAATTGTTTATCTAAAAAATATGTATTATTCTTATTCTTATTCTTAGGGCTTCTTTCAGTTGGAACTCACCAGAACTCAGTTCTGGCACCTCTCAGGTGGGTGCCATTGTCATTCTAAGAGAACAAGGGAGGCTTTTATGGTGAATTCTGACACCTCTTGATGATTAATTCTTTTACATCTGTTTTTATCCTAGGGGCTTAGAGCATCTTACAAGTTCCTCCCCCCTCTTATTCTCACAACAGTCCTGCAAGCCAAATTATGGGGATAAAGACTGACTAACCCAAGATGTCCTAGTGAGATTCATAGCTGAATGGGATTTGACCCAGGATGCTTGTTCCCAGTCTTAAGCTGGGCACTCTGATCGCTGCCATATGTGGGAATGGGGATGTACATTTAAAAGTGCCAGCAAACTGCTGTTAGGAAGCTCAAAGGGCAACAATCCATGCCACCTTACTGGCCTGGCCTGTCTTATATACACACACATACATGGTAGCGACTTAAAAACAGCATGGTGTCATCGTATCAGGAAAATCCTTGTGTGGTTGCAGCTATATACACATATGCTGGCTTCAGCCATAAAGCATGTTTTCCCAAGCATTGCGAAAACTATGAAAATCTTCTCAGAGCATGTGCTACAATGCAGGCTAATGAAAATGTTCACTCAAGTACCACCAGCCCACCTGCTTTCAGGATAAAGCTGATTCTGTAATACATGGGAGCCAAACTCCACCGCAGGTTTAGGCATGGTGAAATAGTTTCAGACAATAGTTCGGCTTATTTCTTAGAAAAAGCACATGTGCTCTTGTGGGGGTTTGGCAGGAATAAATTTAGAAGAAAAGCTGCTCTATTTAAAACCTGTAGAAAAGAAAAGAGGACAAGAGGATAGACTCAGATAAGCCAAACACAAAACAGGCAGGTGCCAACAATGATCGTCTTTCTTGCGGCCTTCCATAAGGACTCCAGCTGCTATCAACCTCAACCAGTATGGCCTCCAACTCACATCAACCTCAGTCAGGGATGAAGGTAGTTGGAATCCAACAGCATCTGGAGGGCTGCAGGTTGCCCATCCTTGCCTTTACAACTTGTGATGCCTTAAAAAAAACACCCCACAGCTCACTCGTCACCCGAAGTGGTTGGTGGGAAGAGGTGGGGTGCACATCTGTCCTCCCTGCAGCTGTGGCATTGCTACCACTTAGCAGGAGGGAGGGGTGCAGTGGAGAAGTCAGCAATGTGTGGGCCCACTGGTGGTCAATCTGGAACTCCAGCTGCTGCGCCTGCACAGCACTGATCTACCTACCACCTTGTTCTTCTCGTTTTGCTGCCTGCCTGGGACAGTAAAAACAAGGAGGAGGGGCGATAGATCATGACTGAATGACTGGCTGTGATTACAGATTGTGCAGATCTGCTTTAATGTTTACATCAAGAATGCATTTTAACGAAATGGGGATATCGGAAGCAAGGATACAGAGAGTGATGGTATCAGTACTACAACGTCCTATTGATTAAAATGTCTTATGAGGGCAAGCTGCTATATAAATTCTTTTAAAAGTTCATTGTATTCAGTGAATAACCTACTGAAGCCGAGTTACATGACCCTTATGAGATATAAGCCATTATCAGCATAGGGCCTCAAAAAAGATGACACCAGGCTAGACCCATGGCATTTTCTACCTATTTTCCATCAACAGGACACCCTGCATTTGGACTGTCCCCCCCCCCTTCTCTCAAGCAATCTCTTTCTGTGCTTCAGTGTTCCTTGCAGTCCTGTGCTCACCTGAACCTGGCTGTGCCATTGCCTAGTTAGCACACTCTTCAAGGTGAATTACTAAGCCAAATGACATAATGAACAAGAGACGATGACGCCAAGGAAAGTTATTGATTTATGAGCATCTTTGCCAAAGCACTGTGACCTTCCTTCTAAGTTTTATTTTGGAATGTGCCATCAGGAGTGTAAACAGTGGGAAATGGCTGAGGGAAGGGAAGAAAAAGTGCATCGATCTCCATATTGGGGGGTGTGGCCTGTCCTCTCCTCAACAACAGTACTTTCTTTTGCTACTCAGACTCTTGGCTTTCATTTTATATGCAACCAATATAAATAATTATAAAGCTCAGAAAGGTCCAGTTGACTCATTCAGCCTCGAGGAGTAGTGACACCAGTGATAAGGGTATATCAGCATGACAAACTTCTGTTGGTTTTATACCAATCTGTCATGGCTTCCTCGCCGCATGCCCACTTAACTGAAACTTCTGTTGCCAAGGAACTTGGGGTATATGCATTTTGTTGGACAATTTGCAAGGACTTGGCCTTCTTCTGCAATTTCATAATGATTCCATGAGCTGTCAAATGCTCTGTTCCTTCTGTTCGGAATGGAGAGGTAGTGGGACTGCAACTTTCATACTCGTGCATATATTATTGACCCAATGCTAAGCAATTATTGTTTTCAAAGGGAGAAGGCCCCAAATGTGCTTCATTCTCCCATCAATATCAATGGGATTTTAATGGACCTCAATGGCTTTCAAAATAAATTGCTGTAGATATGCTGCATGAAAATGACTCATTACATGAATTGACTCTTCACTGTTTGGTTTGCTGGAATGTTAACAATGTTGTTGTGAACACTGTGAAATTTTTTTATTAAGGAGACCATTTGGCCATAAAGCATTCACTAAAATAAATTGTACTTTCACCCAAGGTTTATAAATATACATATTTGCATACAGTACTTTTCTTCTAGAAAAAAGGTACTGGTACTACGTATCCTTGAGTACCCCCCAGGAAAGAAAAGCACTGCTTGAATAAATAAATATGTTAAAATGCAATAAAACTCAGAGCATCACCTTTATCACATTGTCAAGGGCAGCATTAAAGCCCATTGCTTTCAGAAAAACAGGAGGACTTTGTCCTTACCATAGATATTGAAAAAGCACATTAGCCACATTCAGGAAAAATAGAAAAAGGGAAGGTATTGCATTTGTCTGAAATTATTTGATATAATCAGTCAACTTAAAACTGAAACTCATACATTTCTGTCTTTCATTTTTCTTTTAAAAAACACTGAACATCCACATTGATAGCTTGGCATTTGTATGTGCTTTGATGTTTCCAAGCTTTGAAATATATTTTCAAATTTTTATGCAAATTTCTGCTCCCAATTACATACCCATTAGTTCCTCTACAACATCATCTTAATATTCTCAAAATGATTCTATGCTTCCCTAAGGCTGCAATCCTATAGCAGTTTACCTAGGAGTAAGTCCCAGTTGAACTCAATGGGGCTTGCTTCTGAGTAAGACTTTCACTGTAAGGCTACCTACAGTCAGTCAAAGGCCAGCCACAAGGCTATAGGAAGTTAAAACAGAAAACTGAAAAGGAATCCAGAAAGTAAGTAAACTAAAGTGATTTCCTTTATTAAAGCAACATTATAAATTTAGCAAGTTTGCACTATTTCCGACGCTCTGAGCGCATTGCATCTCACCAGCCATGGATTGTGGCTAGGTGCTTCCTGTCACCCACCACCCACTTTTTCAGTCCTTGATGGACCCCATATATGGTTGGTGGGTTGCACTCATCTTGGTAGGCCACAAGCTCTGCACATGTAGTGACTACTGAGTGCAATTAATTTATTCAAAATTCCTTCTGCACTAATATGCCATCTCAGAACATTAAGCAACATTCTCTCTCGGAGCATCTGACAGATCAAGATAATTTAAATAGCAAGAAAATGTAACATGTACTGAGTAAGAAGTTTCATGCAAAAAGGAACAAATTGGTAGCTTCAAGCCTAAGGCAAAGTCAAGATCCATTAATAGTTTCACTGCACCAGTTTGTGGGGGAAACATAATTGGCTTGAATGAAGTTCAAATATATCTGATCTTTTACCCATTAAACATTGGATGAGCTTAATTGGTGACTTATGCATGATTTCATGGTTTATCAGACTCAAGGGATAACAGGAATTCTAAATGCTTTGCACATCACCCCAACTTAGCTAATTAGTTTTCAAAACATTTCTGAAAGCAACTAGGACTATCTGCATTTAGAACAAGGCTTTGAAAGAGCACGTAAAGTGAATGGGCAAACTTTCTGATGGGTTGCTCAGTCTTTGTTGCACAGAAACTAAATGAAAAAGACATAAGAAGCAATGGAGGAATAATTCCCAGTGAAAGGGCTTGGAATAGCAAGCCTGTACCACATTTCTTTCTTCCTGCAGTGGGTATCATGTTTTTATTTATTTCTCTAAAATATTTATATCCTGCCCTTCTGTCTATAAAAAATTCAGGCGCAACTTACAAAAAACTTATCAAGTACAATAAAATTAGGAGAACCACAGAAACACAGCAGAGAGATAAAACCATCAGTTAAAGCCACCTTCAACGACATACTGGAAGAACCCAAGCGCATACAAATATATTTGCCTGGGGACAAAGGGGACCCTCCCTAGGGAGGGCCTTCCATAGACAGGGCATCACAACTGAGAAGGACCTCTTTTCACCTCCCATCTAAGGAGGACTTGAAGGATGGCATCCGATTAAGATCATAAAGTTTTGACAGGCACTATTAAAAGATGTTGGCATGGAATGGTGTTCTGAGATCCACTGAGGTCTCCTTGGTGGCAAGGCTATCCAATGAAAATGCTGACTTCATCCCAGGGGCATCCATCTCTTCTCCAAGGAAATATAGTTTCAGTTTGCCAGATGGTGAACTGAAGGGCCAGCTCACATGTGCATGGAATCAAGCAACCACCCATTGGGACTGGACAACAGACAAACAAAGCAAGCTGTCTCCTAGCAGTGAGCCATGTAGCTGGAGATGGCATGGATGGATCCTCTGCTATTGGTGAGATTATTCATGCTGCACCAGCTTTAAAGTGGTGTAGGGGCAGAAGACATTTGGTTGCTTGTGTCCTTGGTTGCATGTATATATTCTCTCAATAAAGAACTCTTATAAAGTCCATGGTTCTAATATTTAAGATAAAGGCATCCTTTAAAGTATGACCATTCAACCAATTTTTCCGAAGTAGTCCCATTGTGGCCAAAGGGTTTCTGTAGCTTCTCAGCCAAAAGTAAGGAATTTGAAGAGCATGGAGAGATCTCTTAAATGTATCATTTGTAAGCCCAGTAAAAAATACCTGCGCTTAAGGTCATGCAACCCACTACTGTCTGCTTTGTTTGGAAGTGCCTTGCAGAGCCTCAGGTATTAAATATGTCGAGGGTTGAACTACATGCAAAACATGTACTCTGATATTGATCAATGACCACCAAAAGGACAATGGAAAGGGTACAACTGTCCCAGCTCCAGTCTCCATGAGCGCCTGCCAAGGCCTTATAGCTTGCACCAACATAATATGCTGGGATGGCATCCACCTGGTTCCAGCTGCAGCTATGTTTGTTGCATTGGCTTTTTCTGTCTCTCAGCACATCCCCTTGGTAGGATCATAAGAAGCTGCCTTCAACCAAATCAGACAGATGATGCATCCAAGTTAGCACTACTGACTGGCAGGGTTTCAGATAGGGAACTATTCTAGCTCTAGCTGGAAATGCTGGGGATGGAATCTGGGACCTGCATGCATAGAAGCACAAAACTGTAGAGTTGGAGGTCGACTCCAAGGACCATCTAGTGCAATCCCCTGCAATGCAGGAATCTCAACTAGATTGTACATGACAGAGGGTCATCCACCTCTGCTTAAAAACCTCCAGTGAAGCGGAATCCACAACCTTCTGAGGAAGTCCATTCCACTGTTGAACAGCTCTGATCAGATGCTCTGCCACTGAGCTATGTCGTTTCCCCAGTACCAGCTGGTATTTTGCTGTCCATAATACTGTATTTTGTCTGCCAACCAATACTGGGGCCTGAAAATGTAGTAAACGCCAACTTCTACCAACCTCCACCCATACTACCAGTTGCATTTCACACACTCCAACCCTTCTTAGTTCTGGTGGGTCACTACCCCCATTTCTGCCCTTTGGGGATGTTAGAAAACATTGGCGTTAGTTTCTAGAAGGGTCATTCTTCAGGAGGATTCGTGCACACCCACCCCCTAAGAGACCCTAGAAGTTAAATCTCATTGTAGTGTGTATTTTGCCTCCAGGCACATACATATGAATGCTAAGGCACCTTGCGGTGCACCGCTTGCCACTTTATAACATGCAGTTCCAGAGATACCTTTTGAACTGCTGGTAGTCTGTTGCAAGGCAGAACCTTCAGCAAGCTACACCCAGGGATGCTCTCCAACTGTACAAGAACTGGGATGTTTCAAAGGTATGCCTATTTTGTCTGTGAAGTCTTGAAGGGTATGCCATGATCTGAAAAATTCTATCCTAGCCCTACCCTTCCCAATTCATTCAGTTGCAACCACAGGATACCAGGTCCTCATAACCAAATTCTGTTATGCTTGTCTGGCCTCACTCCTCCTTGAAATCAAAAGTTGACAACCTTAGGCCCAGCCTACTGCCACCATTAGCATGGCAGATGGCTAACAAATGCAAATGAAGTTTGTGACTTCATCGCCATGACAGAATCATCACAATCTCACTCCTCATCCTGCCCTGCTGATGCCACTGGAGGGAGGCTATTGCTGCAGCTCCTCCACACAGGTGAGCTGTTGTTATATGGACATCAGCAGAAGTTTTTGCTGATATATTGCAGAAAGGTGAGATCAATATATAGTAGGCACACCCAACTCCCAAGAGTCTGCGATCTACTCCTAGTATAAAAAAACTGGCAGTGATCAACCCATTGTCACTGGAGGGGGGAGGAGCATGCTTCGGTGGAAGTGGGAGAAGATTGCCCAAAGTTGTTGAGGGAAGGATTAACCAGAGTTGTTGAGCTTTTTTTGGGGGGGGGTCTTTACCTACACTGCCACTCAAATGCATTGTGCTTACTAGTGCTTGCTACTATGGCAGCAAACAGACCAAACGCCAGGGGCGGGGAGTCATGACATTCATTATTCATTAACTCAATTGACCAGGAGCACCCACGATTGACAGGGATCTACCTGTCGATCGCGGTTGACTGGTTGAACATGTCTGATATATAGCATACAGGGCCTAGAAAATCTTGTCACCATCCTTAGCTCTTCCCCTTATGCTTTTTGACCAAGGCTAAGTGAGGAATTGAATCCGGATCCTTAAATCCAGTTCCGGGAAATCACTAGAATACCTCAGAGAACAGCAAAGCAGCTGTTAATCAATACTGTTTGAATCAGCTCCTGCTGAAATCTCTCTCTACTTATTGGAGCATTTGCAGGAGCCAAGGCACACAAAATTAAAGCACTGTGCAAATGATCCTGCTTCATCCAACTGTTGCACTTCTAGAAAACAATTTATATAAATAAACTAAAGTGACAGCAGTGCCTTTTGCAAACACAAAAGAAGAGGAAGATTCACAGAATAGAGATGGGATTGGTAGTCTATTCCAGGTCAATCTTTATCCATATGTCCATTCCTCCTATTTTCTTTTTGAAAAGATCCACATGAAATTTCATGTTTATCACAAACCCACATTTAAATATTTATATTTATCTCAATGTACATATTTCTAAACACATCTTATCCTTTAACGTGCATTTCAGTGCATTTTGGTTCATTACTGAGCCAAGAACCGTAACACGAAATCAAAAGGATAATTACATTCTGCTCCACACATTTGTCCGGGAGGTCAGATCAGGTCAGTTTGCATCGGTATTCACAGAAATTGAACTCCTCACGCATTCCTAGCACCGAGCCACTGCAGTGAGCATAAAGCTATCCCATGCCTTACAGAGGTATCTATCCATCTTCAGGGCCCTTTGCTGGTTGCAAGAATCATGTGTGCACCAGGTGCCAAGTGAAAAGTGGGCTAATGGATTTCCGCGTGAGGTAATAGCTAAAAACATTGTAGTGCACCCAGGACAATGCAAGTGTGAGCAGAGAGAGAGAGAGAGAGAGAGAGAGAGAAGAGAACATGAACTGAGGGCCAGTGGGGAGGTTAAGGAGGGAGGACTAATTAGAGCCCTCTGAGAACTCCCTTCCGCAGCTGGAGAGCTGCATGCAAGAGAGGGAGGATGAGTAATGCCTAAAAATACAAGTATTGTGTCATAGGGTCAAACTATACATTACGTTAAATGTGCAGCTTGGGGCTATGTGGTTTTTTTCTTCATTTAATTACAGCTGCAGGGTGTGGGTGTTTCTCATCAGGACAGCTGTGCATAGGGGAAGAAGGTTTAACTGTGATTTGGGCATCAGTGGATTCCCCCCACCCCTAGGCTGCATAACTGCAAAGAATGGAAATTATGCTTGCGGTACTCTACTCTACAGCATATCATAAAATATAATAATCAGTTTGTGGGGGGGGGTTATAAGAAAAATCAAGTGGTATATAAATGCTATGAAATTTATGTTATGAAATAAAATAAAGCATAGGACAGTGATGCCAAAACAGGCATTTTCCACTATTGTCCCTGTACTTGTAGCATGCTCCTCCATTGGCTATATGTGAAGCAGGAACCATGTGTTGCCCTGAATTCCTGTTTTTATGCTTTTATATTGCTGGTTTTGTGTTATTGGGGTTTTTGTTTTGCTTTAATGATATTATTTATTGATTCTATGTCTTACTTACTTCTCCAAACCTTTATTAGGCATTACAAATATAGGGGGTAAAGGGGACCCCTGACCGTTAGGTCCAGTCACGAATGACTCTGGGGTTGCGGCGCTCATCTCGCTTTATTGGCCGAGGGAGCTTCCGGGTCATGTGGCCAGCATGACTAAGCCGCTTTTGGCGAACAAGAGCAGCGCACGGAAACGCTGTTTACCTTCCTACTGGAGTGGTACCTATTTATCTACTTGCACTTTGACGAGCTTTCAAACCGCTAGGTTGGCAGGAGCTGGGAACAAGCAATGGGAGCTCACCCCATCGTGGGGATTCGAACTGCCGACCTTCTGATCGACAAGCCCTAGGCTCTGTGGTTTAGACCACAACACCACCCACATCCCATTACAAATATAGGCCATCATAAAACATCCATATATAAAATCTTAAAATAGATACAAATAAACAGCCATGTAAAAATATGCAATAATGAGGATTTTCATTGGAGTTTCTTCCCACTAAATAGTGCCATTCACCACTCTAAGAGATACTATTGATAAAAACTCAGTCACCCTTGCAGTTACTTCTGGATTAATGTCAGACAGATAGAATCTGTATTTTCATTGTGCCGTGATATTAGAGTACCCCAAAAAGGGGATAGAATGTGTTTGCATAGCTGGTTGTACAATGGACAGATGAAAATAATATGTTCTTTTCTACTTTACTAGACCTCTTAGAGATTTGCTCACTATGCAATTAAAGTCATGTCTGCATTGGCACTGACTCTGGTATCTCTGAAGCCAATGGCAACCCCCCCAAAAAAACAACAACGGGAGAAGCAGCTGCAAGCTCAATAATCTAGCTTGATTTAGCTATCAGGTCTGCTTAGCGTCAGAGTTCTGCTTTTGTTTCTCTTCTTTAAACGTTAGCTACCCTGCTTTCCATCTATACTTAAAGAGGAATAAAAACTGAGGCTAAGCTATGCCGCTGACTGAACAACATGGAGGAAATTTCCATTTGGATAGAAATATAGATTAACTTTGTATTTAAAAAGCAACCAGTCCAACCTGTTTATTGTAATTAAACATTGACCTAATGAGAAGCAGACAACTTCCTTTCTATGGGATATTGAAAATGTGGAAGGTAGAGGAGAGTTGAAAGCTAACATTTTTCACATAGAAAGGGTAATGTTGGAATATCACAATCGCCTCTTTCACAGATTAATCATGTGAAAAGGGGGTCCACGTGAGCTGAAGGGGCAACAGGGCCACATTGCTGACCCCAAGGTTGCATAGTTCCCCATCCCCCACGTTCACACATTATGCATGGGTATCTATTGGGTAGGCCTGCGTGCCCAGGCACGGAAAGTATGTGACCCACCAGGGGTCAGTCCAGGGTAAAAATAAGACATAGGACATCAGGATTGGGTTGAAACAGGCCACAGCTTTATCGATTACAGATGTGAGCTGGTTTTGGCGAAGGCATTGGGTATGTATCAGATACCAAGCAACCCACCTGCTGCTTGATCAGTAAGGTGGGTCAACCCTAAGTAGCAGGTTACCCATCAACATATATCAAGCAGGACATTCCCAACAGGGCCACCACTTGGGAAGCTGCTATGGCCCACGGTCCCTATCTGGAATTCCAGACAAAGCAAACCTTTCCTGGACCCCTTTATCAGGGTAACTGATATCTAATGGCTCAACCCAATGTCATAGCCGCCAAAAGTGCATATAGGCGATGGGAGATGGGATCCAGCTGGTGCTGTGTCAAAACATGTTCTCTGTTTTCTCAGAGGTTTGCTTCCCCCACCTGTTTCCCCACACTTTAGAATTCTGGTAGGTGTGGTCTTATTGTTGCAAAGTGGCCAGTGGTGGTCTGTGTAGTTTTCCCTCTATGTGTTGGAAATTTCATTCCTCCGTGCTGCAGATGTGTGATTGTTACATGTCATGCATCTGTGTTTACATTCCAGAGTGTTGGATGTCATGGGAATGGAAGTTTAGATATGCTGTTCCGTTCTGTATTGCTTTTGCTTTTCCCTTCTCCCCAAGGAAGTAAGAGAGGAGCCATGTTTTCTTCGCTCTGTTAAGTTTGATTTTGTACATAATAAATTAGGCTTAGCTGTCGCACTTCAGCTTCTGTTTGGACTGTGTGCTCATGTCCTTGGATATGGGCCACCCCAGCGCACAGGAGTGATGAATCATCCCAGGCGGTGCTGTGTTGGGGGAGAGGCATCAGCCTCAGTGTTTCCCAACATTATGATACATTTCTTCAGAGTTCTGGGGCCTCCCCAGCTGCCCATGCTTCCTGATATGAAAAGGGAAGAGAGGTGCTTTGTAATGTCTGCTCCCAGACTTCAACTGAGGGAATTCAGAGAGCCTGGTTATCGTGTGCCTCTGTTTGGTGTCCTCCAGAAGTAGCTCCCCGGATGGAAAGGAGCTGCTATGCTCATTTCCTGGCAGGTGGGCTGCTTCCTGGTAGGGTGAGTGGGAGAGACAAGGTGGTGGGAAGGTCCGCAAGGTGAAAATACATTTTCAGCAGTGGACTAATTCTAGCATCTGAGGAACATACAGGCTTTCCCTCTGCAGACATCCACACTCAATGCATGGATGTTTGGAGGGGGGGGCAGGGGAGGCAAGGAAACTGTGTGACCTCCTGAGGGTGGAGAGCAGCACAGCCCATCTTCTCATTTGATTGTGTGGACCCCCTACAAGCGGTTGACACAGGAAGGAGGGTTATAGATTCTTCTTTCCCTCATCTATATCTGCATCTAGTTAACATCCTCATCTTGGAGGAACCACTTTGGCGGCTGTTGTATCCCCCCCCCCCTTTCCCTGAGTAATATCCTTAATTAGATTTTCATCAGAGTACTTCTTCATCTTGAATGATGTGGGTAATGCCTGTTTTTACATTCATTTTAAAATTTGCTGGAAATATATGATTTTAAATATAAAAAATTAAGAGAGAGACCATTTTATTAATATGTCAAGAAGTATCATTGAAATATTCCCACTAGGGACAAGTATTTCCAAATAATATTAGATTATTCAGGGACAGAAATGGATTCCAACTTACCCTACTGAGATTTTGTAGCTTCTTTGCAGTTATATTATTTTGCCATTAAATGTTAATTCAGCAGAACCTTTCCAGATCTTTTTTCAAAAAAATTCTGATACAAGCTTATTGCAAATCATATTTAATCCATGGTTTTACATTTTATTACTCTGATTTAAACAAAAGCAGTAATAATAAACAGCTTGGAAACTAACAGCATTAGAGAGCGCTTTAGGATATATTTATGCTTTTCTCTGATTTGAAAGTGTCTGTCATACTTAAAACAAAACAAAAACAGAATACTGTTGCCTGGAAAGCCAGAAAGCTTTGTTTTGCTTCTCATGCTTAGGATGAATTAGCTTTAACAGTGGAAGTGATGCAGCATTTGATGGGCTCCAAAGAGATCCTCAAAGTGTGTCTAGCAGCTTGGGCATACATACTGAGATTGCGGGATGGGGAGGACTTTGAATAGCACCCCCACTCTTGCCCCACCACAAATTGCTTTTGCATTCTGCCTTAGATTCAAAAGCAGTTTGGCATGTGGCATTGGCGGATGGGGCTACTCTTTGTGAAATCAAAGTTTAAAGCTGCCTTGTGTTCGTGGAACTACTTGGAGGTTCTTTGGATCCTGGCTTACCTTTGAGGAAGGGCTGTAGCTCAGCGGTAGAACATCTGCTTAACATACCCTCCAAAGTGTCCTGATTTTCTAGGGTCAGTCCAAGATTTATGAAAGCCACCAAAGTCCCTTTTCCCCTCACAAGCACCGCCATGCTCAAAGAGGAGGGTGAGCTGGTGCTTGTGCCAAGCTACAGCAGCTGTGAGGAAGGACCTCATTGCCTCTCCATGGGTGCCGCTGCCAGCCTCCTCCCTTGGGCAGCTCGTAGGGGCTGCTGGAGAGCAAGTGAGGAGGAGAGGCTGTGCCCCGTGTGACATGCAGACTCTGAGGAGCAGGCAGAGGGCAGGGCTGCTCTGGGCAGGAAGGTGGTGGCAGCACTCATCTTTCTTCTAACAGGAAATGCTCTGTGTGGGGGAGACAAAGAATGGGGGGTTGGAGAGAGTCAGTTGAGGGACAGTGAGAAATGTCCCTATTTTCATCTGAGGAATGGGGGGGGTATGGCCTGGCATGCAAATGTTCCCCGTTTCAGTCTCCAGGGAGAGTTGGAAATGCCCCTTGTCTGAAACCCGGGGAAGCAGCTGCCAATCAGTAAATAGACAACAAAGAGAAGTCCCAATGGCCGGTCTTGGTCTTAAGCAGCTTCCTATGCTTCCATCAATGCCCGGAATCATCAACAGACAATGACTGTTTAAACTGCTGGGTTTGGCAATCAAGAAATTGTTGTGATCCTTAATAAAACTTAATCCACTGAAGAAATGAATTGCATGGGGTTGGACTAGATGATCCTTTGGGTGTTCTCCAACTCTACAATTCTAGGATTTTATGAAAACCCTTGCCTGCAAAACTTTCATTGATTTCGGTGATCGTTTTTCACACATCAAATTCCCTGTGCTGCTAAGTATTTAAACACATACCTAAATTTAAACATGTGCTTAATCCCACTAAAGTAATTAATTGCTCCTTTGCTTAAAGACCTCCTGAACTAAGCCTTTGGGGACACAATATTATTTATGAGTTCTCTCATTGGTAGCATTCATTAGAGAAATCACATCCAGGGTTATTTCTTTCTTGCTACATGTCAAAGGAAATTTCCCTTCAGCTCAGCTTTATAAAGAGCGTTAAAACAAAGCTTCAAAGCAAGCATTTGCATTAAAGTACTCAATTATTTATTTAGATGTGGTGTGCACATCTATCTCTTTTTTTCCCTGAGAACAACATAATGTCAAGAGCTATGGAAATTAAAATTACAACCGTACACTTAAACTGAGGCTGTAGACATAGTGAGCTGGTGAAAAATTACACAATTCATATTCTTTTCATCAAGCTGTATTTATGATCAATTGGAAGGCATCTTTGGAGACCTGAGTGGTATGGCTTTTTAGTCTTTTCATGCCAAAATAGCCACCCATCCTCTACCTTTTCCTCCTCCCTCCTCCAGACCATCTATTCATAGACTTTATGAGCAGTTGGAGACCTTTTGAACTGAAATCTGAGCTCTGAGGGTTTCTTCAGTTTTGCGTAATTCTAGCTATTACCAAAAGTTAAGAGTAAGAGTTGCTTATCCCAGTGCCATCCCAATTCCCCCTGCAATTTTCTTTCTTTCCTCCAAAATAATTTCCCTTTCTGTTTCTTTGAGCCTTAGCGGTTCACAGAGGCATTAAAGCAGTGGGGAAATAGCTGGCTCTGTCTTGCGCTGATCTATTAGAATCCATTCAAAAAATTCCCATTTGAGCCCTCGCTAAAACAATAGAAAGCAAATCACAAAGATCAAAAACAGCCTTGCAACAGTGACAAAAGACAGCTGGGTCCATGCTCCCGTTATGCTTGTGTGTATGACATTTTTACATGTTACAAAACTAACAAGGTCAACTTTTTGAACCTTATCACAAGGATGCACATTCATTTGAATGAATTAGAATGGAAAACAATTATTCCTTCTTTCGTTTGTTTTTAACCACTTTCAAAAGTGGAAATTGTTGTGCATGGAATAAATGAGGTAGAACTCTTTGTATGGGGAAAGCAGGAGGGCTGGCACTGTGAAATTCAGAAAGCTGGAATCTCTATTTAGTACAGGAAAAGATGCCTGCTTCTTGGGAGAAAAGCAATGACAAACCTAGACAGCATCTTAAAAAGCAGAGACATCACCTTGCCAACAAAGGTCTGTATAGTTAAAGCTATGGTTTTCCCAGTAGTGATGTATGGAAGTGAGAGCTTGACCATAAAGAAGGCTGATCGCCGAAGAATTGATGCTTTTGAATTATGGTGCTGGAGGAGACTCTTGAGAGTCCCATGGACTGCAAGAAGATCAAACCTATCCATTCTTAAGGAAATCAGCCCTGAATGCTCACTGGAAGGACAGATTGTGAAGCTGAGGCTCCAATACTTTGGCCACCTCATGAGAAGAGAAGACTCCCTGGAAAAGACCCTGATGTTGGGAAAGATGGAGGGCACAAGGAGAAGGGGACGACAGAGGACAAGATGGCTGGATAGTGTTCTCGAAGCTACCAGCATGAGTGTGACCAAACTGCGGGAGACAGTGGAAGACAGAAGTGCCTGGCGTGCTCTGGTCCATGGGGTCACGAAGAGTTGGACACGACTAAACAACTAAACAACAACAACAAAAGCATTTAGGTTGTGTCTGTACACCTTCCTTAATTACCTATAAAATGGTATCCCTGTGCCCTAACTATCTGAAATCTGGCAGATCTGGTGTAAGGGGCTTTGTGTGGAAGTACACCTAAAGATTTCATTCCAGTAGGATCAAAAATTCCACTTATAAGCAGGATAAATGCAGCTGGGTTCTCCTATTGCAAGTAACTGAATGTCATAAGAACAGACCCCTTTAAATTGCCTATAAAATGTATGACCCTTGTCTTACCTATCTGAAAGTTGGCAGGTCTGATGGCCTGGGGAAAGTCAGTGCATGCTATTTGGATGGAATGTGCCAACATTACATGCAGCAGTAGACCAATGGGGTTTTCCATATATATATATCAATAGGAAAATGAATGAACTAGTAAAATAAAGCTATTTAAATGAGTGGGAAATGAAATAACAACAAACTGGATAGGGAAACAAAGACACACCACTACTTACAGCATCGCCATTATGAGGCCCCACCATATCATGAGAACTGTTCTTCTACGCTGTATAAACAGGGGAAACAAAGAAACAAACACAGATGGGCCAGTTCTCCTCTTTTTGTATAGAAGCAAGGTTATGAAGGGTCCCTTCATGCCAAATGTGCAGCAATGAGCGGTGCCAGCCTCAGTGTCAATTTCCAGTGAGATCTCCTGAAATCTCAAGAGATCTTACCAGAAATCGGCTGGTGTTGCTTCACTCCACCTCCAAGAGGGCCAGCACTGCTGCTAGATGGGAGGGGGGGAGCAGAGAGGAGCAAGAGGGAAGCAAACGAATTGCTGGCTAGACTTGGCAAAGGGGCTTGTGGCCTTAATAACTGAAAATCATGCAACAAAGTAGAGCCAAACAATGCCCTAGTCACCACTGACTGAAACGCATCAACCATGGCATCCAGGTCATTACAAATGTGAGCAATTTTATGCTTCAAGTACCTAGCAAACATGGCACAGTGTGATACCAAGGATATCTTTGCTCAGGTTTGGCTGGTATGCCCAAAGTATACATTAGTCAAAACTTCATATAAAAACAAATATATTAGGAGAAATAATATCACATCAAATTCCCATGTCACAATCTACCATTATCTGAGTAAATATGGTGGTGAATCTACCCAGCAGTGTTGCCAATGTCATTTGGTTCTACAGATATACCCTACTTTTTTTTTAAAAGATACAGTAGAGTCCAAAATATCATTTAATCTTCTCATGCATACTGATCTAGGATACTTTTTTCTAATATAGATTCTTCTTCCCCTCCCTCAGAGGGTGAGGGGGAAAGCCTTGGATCAGAGTTTCACAAAGAAATAGCACTTATTTATATACATCAGAAACATATATCTGCTTTGAACTAGATAATCAGTATTTCCCTCCCATGATCTTCCCCATGGAGATAAAAAAAAATACCATTTTAGGAAATATGGCTTTATTTTCTGCTAAAACTAGATCAAAATGTTTCATAGATAAAAATAACATTTCTTGGGGCTTTCTGTTTTGCGCCTTTGTTGCCAGATGCTGCATAAAGAATTAATAGAAAACCTGTCTAAAAGAAGTTTTCAGAAGTTTTCGTGGAGTGGGCTTTTTTCTTCTCTGAACAATTTATGATTTATTTATTTTTCTTTTTTGGGGTGGGGGAAACCACCAACATTTTCCTGCTGTAGGATCCATCTAATGAAGTCAAAACACTGTTTTCAGAACTCTCATTTCAGAAAAACTTATGAGGAAGAAACATATGCTCTCATCAGGCTCCCTGAAGCTTTCCTTCCTGTGTGGAAAGATTTCTTCATTTCCAAAGTAAAATGGGGAAGGATGAAACAGGGCCTAGCACTGGGATTGCGCTAAGAAACAAAACAGAAGAAACAGCGTAACAAAAGTTACCTGTAGTTTTTTCCCTTCAAGAAGTAACTCACAGCCATATTGCCATCACATTTTTCCCTAACTGTAGTTTCCAGACTATCTTCAAGGGCAGCCCTATGTAGAACACATTTGTTGTTGTTGTTGTTGTTTAGTCGTTTAGTCGTGTCCGACTCTTCGTGACCCCATGGACCAGAGCATGCCAGGCACTTCTGTCTTCCACTACCTTCCGCAGTTTAGTCAAACTCACACTGGTAGCTTCGAGAACACTATCCAACCATCTTGTCCTCTGTTGTCCCCTTCTCCTTGTGCCCTCCATCTATCCCAACATCAGGGTCTTTTCCAGGGATTCTTCTCTTCTCATGAGGTGGCCAAAGTATTGGAGCCTCAGCTTCACAATCTGTCCTTCCAGTGAGCACTCAGGGCTGATTTCCTTGTAGAACACATTACAATAGACTAATTGAGAGGTTACCAGCACAAGTATTATTGTAGCTAAGCCAGGAGTAGACTTTGGTCTTTCAAATTTCAGCGGTGCCCTTTGCAAGACCAGAATTTGGCACTTCTGCCTCTTGCCTTCCATTCTGCTCAATTCGTTATATCATAGTTGTGACGTTCTGCAACACCCCCAGATATGAAGCTCACTGTGTGACCTTGGGTCACCCACAAACCGAAACTTCCTTGCAGAGGTGTTGTGAGCCTAACTTGGTTCCTTGCTTCTCTCTAGAACAGAGCTCCTTGGGTGAATAATGATTTATAAGTGCAATTAATCAATTAAGTGTTTGAGTGTGCATGTGCATAAATGTATATTTTGCAGGAATTAATCTTCTCATTGAAAAAACTAAAAGAGAGAGAGCTGGAATTGTGAGAGGACTAACAGTCAACTATGAGGTGCAATTACATTTTTGTCAGTGGTCATCAGGCTTTCTTTGTGCAAACTGGAGATGGTCAGAAGAGACCCACATCTCTAATGTTTTCTTTTGAAGCATCCAAATTATATGGACAATGCCAATTTATTAATTTTTTTGGGGGGAAGGTAGTAATTATTGACACTTAACAACAAAAAATTAGTTCTGTCCAAAGAGGTTCTGTGCATTGCTTTGAGGGAGCAGGGCAGAGTCTGTGGATAGCAAAGAGGTTGTGCACATTCATGCATATAATAGATCCAGGAGAGTATCAGTGTTTTATTTTCCCCAGAAAAGGTTTTACGAAAAATCATGTTTTCCCCCAGTCGATGAGACGACAAAATAAAATTAAGAAAACTTTGTTCTCAAAATCAGTGCCTGGGGCTGAATTTCTGTGCTATAGAAGGTTGTAGGAGATCAAGACATTGAAAAGAAATTGCTTTTTTTCACCTGCAGACGCTGGTAAAATCTACGGCAAAAACTGCTTTTATAGTTAACCTGTAATTACTTCCAAACAGTAACACAGACCTGAGTAAGTGCTCCGGTTCAAATCACCCAGACAAAGCCCTCCAGCAATTGCTGGCAAGGCTCTGCGCTTCCTTTTCACAGATTATTTGGGCCCATTTCTTAAGCGGTCCTTCAGACCAAGGCTGATACCAGGTTTAAGGAGATATAAGGGCATGTGCCGTCCGGTGCGCACCACACATCACCCTTGTGCCCTTCCAAACTTGCTTTAGAAGAAGATGAATGTCGACAGGTGGAGGTGGCAGAAACAGGGACAGGTGGCAATGCTGGAATCAGTGCAGCTCCAGCCTTGCAGTGCTCCCTCAGCAGTGAAAAGAAGCACCAGCTGCTGTCATCTTCATCAACCCCAGTGCCCCTGGACTCTGCCCTAATGTAGAGTACATTGAGGGCAGAGCCTCAAGGTATTGGGGATAATGATGACAGCAGCTGCAGCCATCTGTCCCGGCGTGTCTCATCATAGTTCTTAGGCAATTGAATGATAATAATTAAGGGGTGGTGTCAGTGACAATAGGCCAATCCAGGTCCTAGGGGTCCCAACATTTGCCCCACAATGCCAGGTACTGATGCCAAGCCTGCATCAGACATGCATCTACCATTACATCAGTGGGCATGATGAGATTGTGCTTATGGGTGGGCTTTGGACATATGCTGTGAAGTATAGGCACAGCTAGGATGGAGTTGAATCCTCAGAGGTTCTTCTGATGACCCTACATCAGTTATCTAAGTGTCGGCTCCACCACTGCCTGCATCAGCTGCCCCATAGAATCATAGAATCATAGAGTTGGAAGAGACCACAAGGGCCATCGAGTCCAACCCCCTGCCAAGCAGGAAACACCATCAGAGCACTCCTGACATATGGTTGTCAAGCCTCTGCTTAAAGACCTCCAAAGAAGGAGACTCCACCACACTCCTTGGCAGCAAATTCCACTGTCGAACAGCTCTTACTGTCAGGAAGTTCTTCCTAATGTTTAGGTGGAATCTTCTTTCTTGTAGTTTGGATCCATTGCTCCGTGTCCGCTTCTCTGGAGCAGCAGAAAACAACCTTTCTCCCTCCTCTATGTGACATCCTTTTATATATTTGAACATGGCTATCATATCACCCCTTAACCTCCTCTTCTCCAGGCTAAACATGCCCAGCCCCAATGTCTGGCACTTTTCCTGCAGAGGGGAGGAGAAAGGATTAGCTCTTCGTTTCTCCTCAGGCTACTTCTTCCTAGTGTCAATCAAGCAGGGAGGACAACTTTCTTATCGGCTCTCACCCCCATTTTAAAAAAAATGAAATCCTAAGCAGGCTTACAAGTAAATACCACAAAATAATACATGCAAGGTAGTCAACTTCTGAGCAGGCTTAATCTGCTTTGGCCTCCTTTTTTAGTTATGTATCTGTTCTTAAAGTTTCTCAAGGGAATATGAATCTTGATGAATTTTGTCGTGGTGTGACAGATCCCTCATTAAGTTTTTTTTAAAATGGTTAAAAAAATTAAAACAATATTTAAGGGTTGTTGGAGTTTTTTGCCTTGGGGCACAGTAAAAGGAAAGCTAATGGGGTCCTTTTTGTCTTTGTTTTTAATTAGGAAATATTGATCGTGGGAGATTTGAGGGGAAAAGGTGCAGCAACCTATGAATTTTAGGAAACTGCTATTCCCAGGGCTTGGGCCTGGAATCTTGTAAGTATTTAGCTGGAAAGTTTTGTAAGTGTGCACAGTTCCTGTGATTTCCAGTAACATGCTAAAAGTAACAAAGCAGCAGTGCCATTTCAGTGGGGGTGGGGTCACCTGTACAGGCTCCCTTCTTTCAGTGATGATTTGAATTGTAGCTAAGATTTGAGGTCAGGGGGTCCACACAGAGTGTCCCCCATGGATACAGCTGTATAAAAGAAGTCATGGCTGGCCTGGCTTGACAGGGATTGCAATTAATTTCTGGTGGCAATTTGTATGCCTAAACACTCATATAGACTTCTCCCACATTGTCTGGGAAACCATCGTGGGCACATAGGATCAGATATTATTTCCTCCTTTGGCCCTTGTTTTCCACACAGCCGCTGAAAGGGATTGTAGAAGAAGATTAATTGGGCTTGTTCTAGTTTTTAAAATAAAAACCAGGAATATCTTGGTTACATCTGCCACCATGACCTTGCAAAAGCTGAGCTATAGAGGAAACAGCATCTTGATACTTATGGCTGCCAATGAAGGGGTGAAAAAAATACATTATCATTAAAGCCGGAAGCATATTTGCTAGTATTTAACAAATCATGTGCTTCATTTAAATACTGTTGCCAGTAGCCAAATATATTAAATCCACCTCATTAGGCATTAAATCAATGGAGTTAAAAATTAAATGACAGGGGCTTGTTTTAGTTTATGTCAAGGTATATTTCTACAAGCACAGTTAAGTACCAAAGTCCCCCCATTTTAGATCATTACAGAAATGACAAGGCGCTTGGGTAGCCTGGAGGAACAAAGCTGAAATTCCAACTAGGGATTGGGGAGAAATTCAATTCAGTTCACAGTTAAAGATGAACTTACCTCATTTTCACTTTCCTAAATAATATACGAATTAAAAATGCACCCAGCATTCAAATTTCTACAAACTTTACTTGGATGGGGAACAGTGTTGCAATGTGTTCAAAAAGGCATATACTGGAGCCCAGTGTGCATAAAAATGCATATATAAGTGAAAATAACGTACAAAGTAACATTAGGAAAAATTGGTTTGCAAAATGTGTGATTAGGGAGAAATTTGCATGAAAATGCTGGTGAATTCTCATTAGGACTGATGTGGAAATATGGAGAACTGAACTTAGACTCAGCTAGACTGGTAAAGAAAAGGCAATTTATATGCATTGTATGTGTGATATAACATTGTGCCACTGGATGGCAACATGGACTCCTGTTTTTCTCTACCTGTTTTCTCCGTTTAAATTTACAACGCTTTAAACTGAAACGCTTCTTTGATGTGTCTAGGTCCAGCCTAAGACTCCTCTGAGAGAAATCAAAATTGACAGCTTTGCCCATCACTAGTTCTATGAGAAAGTTAGCGGAAATGTCGGGAAGGTGAGGGACAGAAGGGTTGTCTACCCCAATAAAGGTTCACAAGGAACTCCATAGAGGGCCCCTTCGTAGGCTTCCCCAGTGGCATGGGAGCCACTTTCCTGAAGTAAAATTGCATACCCCACAAGTATCCCAGAGAAATTGGGATCCTGTTTTCTCCTGTTTTCTCACATGAGGGCATGGCGACCATTTTGGCTGCCACAATTCACACCAAGATCTTGCCCTGAAAAGGACACAATATAATGTTGGAAGATTGGGAAAGGCTGTGGAAGAAAGGGGTTAAGTTTATTGCATGTACTGTATTAAAAGAAAATATTATGAAAATGATGTATAGATGGTACTTAACCCCGGTGAAATTAGCAAAGATCTATCATACAAATGATAATGTTGGAAATGTAAAGAAAAAGAAGGTACCCTTTATTATATGTGGTGGACGTGTCCCAAGGTGAAAGACTTCTGGGAAAAGATTTATAATGAGTTGAAAAAAATGTTGAAAAATACACTTGTTAAGAAACCAGAGACCTTTCTACTTGGAATATTAGGACTGGAATTGCCCAAAAAAGATGTTAGACTGTTTTTGTATGCCACTATAGCGGCAAGACTTTTTTTAGCCAAAAACTCGAAATCGCAAGAAATACCAACAATAGAAGAATGGCAGATGAAGATGTTGGACTTTTTGGAGCTGGCTGACCTGACTGGAAGAATCCACGACCAGAAGGAAGAGGAGACACAAGAGGATTGGAAGAAATTTAAAGAATATCTAGCTAAATATTGTGATATAAGATAAATAGAAAATTCGTGGAAGTAATATATAGGCTTAGGGTTAGAATAAGAATGTGTGGTAGTAAATATTAAGGATTAGAATATTAATAAAGGATAAGAGGTTAGTAAATGAAAGGAGTTAATATCATTAGAAATATGAATGTGGAGAACTGTTATACAGGTGATATAATGAAATTCAGTTAGAGGGGATTCGAGGAAGTCAGTTATCAATGTAATGAGAATTAGGAATTTGAAGAAACAATTTTTCTATGTGTTTTGTTCATTGTATGTAATGTGTTTTACTTTGTTGTGTGTTTTGTTATGTCATAAAATCAATAAAAAAATTGGGGGGGAGATCTTGCCCTGAAAAAAGTGCTCCCCCCAACAAAAAGTTTTTTTTCAGGGCCACGATGCAGAACCCCAAAACACAAGTGCACATTTTGAGCTCCATGATCTCCCGTGGGTCTTGTGACTCATGCAGGTGCACGGGCAGGAAGATGCAGATCCCCGTTTGGGGACTCAAGAAGTTGGAGGGTATGAGATCTCATAATGCTATGGTGTGTATGTGTTTGCGCACGCGCGCCATATGAACCATGTGATCCCCCTCTTCACGCATTTGCCTGAATACATGAGGGTTACAAGTGTGTAGAGGGGCAGGAGATGCATGGAGGCCCTGTTCCAAATGTATTCAGGCATGCAGTCTTCTCTCAGACCATCGTGCTTCTGCAGGAGACTTTGACATGTGTGTTTCTGAATGTTTGACTGACGGTGCTTAGAAGCCTCTCTTGTGATCTGGAAACCCAATACAGTGGTACCTCAGGTTACATAGGCTTCAGGTTACATACTCCGCTAACCCAGAAATAGTGCTTCAGGTTAAGAACTTTGCTTCAGGTTGAGAACAGAAATCGTGCTCCGGCGGTGCGGCAGCAGCAGGAGGCCCCATTAGCTAAAGTGGTGCTTCAGGTTAAGAACAGTTTCAGGTTAAGTACATACCTCCGGAACGAATTAAGTACTTAACCCGAGGTACCACTGTATGCAAAAAACATCAAACCAGATTAACGAAAGAATTAAACCATAAAAGTATTAGTAAAAACAGTGGAAAACAACTAATAAAAACATTCAAATAATAATTTAAATCACCAATGAGCTAAAAACAGAATGAAATGCTTGTAAACATTCCACAAATCTGGATAGGCTTGTCTAAACATAAATGTTTCTAAGTAGACGCTGAAAGTGGAGGCCCAATGTCAAGATCAAAGTTGTGGAGTGGGTTAAGGCGATCTCACAAGTCAACCGGTCCCACGTTTTTAAGGCCTTTATTTGCCAATAGTAAAATCTTGAGCTTGGCATGGAAGGGAACAGGTGCCCTTCAAACTTATGGAGGCAGCTGAAGAGCACTATTAGGTATAGTTCCTCTCCTCACCTCGCCTTCACCCTGCCTCAAGGCTAGTTGCTGGCTACGGTAGAAGCAAAAAGCCTTTTGTGTATCTCAACACCTGATTATTTTCTTAACATCTGTATCCATGAAGTCATTCTTAAAAAGGAAGGCAGTAAAGCAATACAATACCAGCGCCTGCAGTTAATGGGATTAGTGGCCTAGAGAGCCGCTGCCAGTCAGCACTAGACTAGATAGCCTGATAAGGCAGCTTTTTATATGTACACCTATGGAAATTCAGAGTTCTATCCTGCTTCTTTTCTACTTAAGGGATCTAGAGCTGGTACACTCGAAATACATACACATACACTGAAGCAATGGAGGGAGAAGTGACAATTTATATAGAAGAAATACCTGCTTGAAATAAACAGCTTGCTCAGCACATTGGGGGTTTTGTTCCTCAGAATAGGGCTCTAGGTTTTTGTTTTTTTCCTTTCGACAAACTATTGCCACATTTTGCTGACGCTCGAGGACTTCAGTCCTTGCAGGTCAGTACCACTCAAGAGGGTATATAACTAACTCTGATTGCCTTTGACGTGTTTGGCATGTCATCCATCACTGAGCTTAAAGGGTGCAATACAACATAATACAGGCTTTCAGCCATCGGTGGAAACAGCAGCAGCAAGGAAAGCATGCAACAAGCTTTAAATATAAAAATGTAAGTGTAAAATATGCCTAACATCACATGAAGTAAAAATGTGATTAGCAGTCAGACTGGGTGACATACAATAATGTGGAATAGAAATCTGCACATGCAATTAGATTTCTATAACTTCTCTTCCTTCCTGCACCACCATGTTGCCCCAAATATCTGTTCCAGAGGGTCACCCAACCAGTGATAGGCAAATCTGTTAATTTTGGCTTTTCCCTGTATCTTAATTTTTCCTCAGCCTTAAATTCAATTCTCCCACATTTTCATATCAGTTTGTTCTTCTTTTTAAAAAATCCTCATGAAAATCCATCAACATTTTATTTTTACTGTTAATTAATATGCTGTCTTTAGACTAAGAAAGCTCACAAGGCATATCACAAAGAATAACCCACAGAAACAAAATTCAAGTGCCAAAAACACAACTTCCAAAAATCCAAGACAACAAAATCTTAACATTTCAAAGGAAGTGCCAATTCCTCCTAATAAACATGTTTGTGTGCAGTTTTGTGATCTTCACTAATATATGCATCTCTCTGCACATTTTGCCCTAGTATACAGATTACTTGGCAGGAGAACAGCACTGCAAAATTCAGAGAAGTGTCTTTCAAAAGATGGCTGTTATTTTGGTCTGTGTATTGTTTTCAGTGCAAACTGAATCAGAGTTCTCCTCCATCTCAACCCCTAACCATACAAATCAGATTTTGGGGCTGCACAGGAGGCTGAGTGGGAGGGGAGGAAGGCAAACCCTCGCTGCACAAGTGAACGCCTGCATGCACTATGTTGACTCTCACCAATGGTGTTTTCATAATCAAATGCCAGGTACAGGTGGACTGTTATCAGTATTACGGTGCAATCTCCACAAAATTCCTACTCCACACAGCTATTAAGGGGGGAAAGCTTCCTTTGGTGCCAGTGTGGTTTACAACCTCATGCTAACTGGCACATAATGGTTGGGATTTCCATGCAGAGGGAATGCTCAAAACCTCCCTCCTTGTTGTGGCTATCCTGATAACCATCTCCCCCTGTCAACCTGGTACAGTGCTACCTCAGGTTACATGCGCTTCAGGTTACAGACTCCACTAACCTAGAAATAGTGCTTCAGGTTAAAAACTTTGCTTCAGGATGAGAACAGAAATTGGGCTCCGGCGGCGCAGTGGCAGCAGGAGGCCCCATTAACTAAAGTGGTGCTTCAGGTTAAGAACAGTTTCAGGTTAAGTACAGACCTCCGGAACGAATTAAGTACTTAACCTGAGGTACCACTGTATTTAATTTTTTAAAAAACAACAACACCCACATATGCCGTGATTGCAAATCAGATTGTTAACATCCTGATAGGCCTATAGATGAGAATCAAACTTGTGTGGAGCTTTCAAGGCTTGCTTGTGATTTAACACAGCTAGTATTCCTACCATGGATAGATGTTCAACATCTGGGCCTGCACACCAACTCCTTAGCGGAACCTTATCTAGTTTGGCCCTCAGCCAGCTATTCTTCCAAGCTCTGCTATCATTCTTACAGCACAATTCTAAGCAGGTTTACTCAAAAGTTAGTCTCTCGAGTAACCATGTTCCGGAATTCAGCCTTATTCTTCTCACACAAGCAGAACAGAACATATTAAAGTTCCTTATTCTGAGTCCTCTAGCCCAATGCCATATATGCTACCTGCAAGGATGTCTCCACAGAGTAAGAGAGCCATCTTAAGCTGCTATGAATTCATTTTTAAAAAACCCCTGGGATACTGGGAATTGAAGCAAAGACCTAATAAGGAGTTTGCAAGGATTTTCTGCTGAGTTCCCCTCATATATGAAGTCACTTTCAGTCTATGATTCAACAGCTCCAAAGGTTAACAAGCTCAATGTATGCATAGATGGAAGAGACAACACAGGTAGAGAGACAGGATAAAAAAAAGGTTACCTTTGTATTTCCTACATAGAACAAATGCTAAATTTCAATATTCTTCAAAAGGGCGCAATTGAATTGATCTTACATCATTCCCTAAGTGAAATAAGGCTGATGGTACCATATAGATATTTCAACGCATTAGCATTTTTGTCGGTTGATGAGAAAGCGTTTCATACAAAAACTCATATGATCAGCAAAACATGAACACTGCTAACTTATTGCCTGTCTTGATTTTCATTTTCTATTCAAAGCTCTGAATTATTAATCTCCTTCTAAGTCAACTGATGTAATTTCTTTTCAGAGGAAAACAAAATGCTTTGCAGAAAAAAATCTGAAAGACTTTCATCAGAGATCTAAAGCACCAAATCAGCTAATCAGTCCCGTTAAGGAGGAGAGAGGGGAAAGGTTAGCAAAGTAACAACACGATACACCCTTGTCAAAATCAAGCTGTGGCTCAAAGCATCTGGAGGGCCAAAGGTTCCCATCCATGTAGACAAGCATTATGTTTCAAACAATGGCTGAGCATGTTATGGCATCAATATCCCTCACCTGTCTCCAGCATTTGGTATTCAGAGGTAACTGTGGTAAGGCCCTTCTCTGAACCCAGAGGTTTCACTGACAAAAACTATCCTCCACAAAGTTGTCAAATCCTTTTTTTAAAAGCTGTCTTCATTAGCCAGTGTCTGGTGAAGAAATATCTGAACATATGAAGATAGACCAACAATCCATTAAGGACAGTGAGACAGGTTTTACCTTTGCAGAAGCTATGTTGATTCTTTTTCAGCAAGACTTATTTGTCTACCAGCTTAATATTTTTCCTTTTAATAATGCTTTCTGCTAAATTACCAGCTCCAGATTATTACTTTTTTAATGTGGTCTGCATTGGCCGCTTTCCAGTACAGGTACTGAGGCCAGTCTTTAGCACAAGCTTTCACCAAAATAACAATTGTATATTTGAGTTAAGAACTCTCAACTTCCATCTTACCTGCTTGCTCCCAGTTGCCTTCTATTTCTCTTTGCGCCACCAACTCTTTGTTGCTCTGTTGCTACTTGCTTTTCACTGTTCTTCCTCCCTCTTTCTCCACTCCATACTTCCTGGCCAGTCTCACATGTGCCAGCTTCTGAGGTCCTCCAACAGCTGTCTGTAATCACCTCCAAGTGCTGAGAGCCCTTCATCAGCAAGGATGAAGAGACAAGCCATTGCAGTGGCCACAGCTTTGTACTCCAAGTGAGGTCTGCAACAAAATGTTGCAATGTGGAGCGCTCTGGGTTTCAGTCAGTAAGCAATGCTTTCCTTCTTGTGGGTGGATGTTGAAGTTTCAGGTAATGAAGGATGCCCACACTGAGAATGAGTTTGCTATTATATAGGGTTTCATATAACAATTTGCAAAGAACAGGAGAAAATAGAATGGCATTCTATAGGATTTCACACACTGCTTTAGAAGAAAAGAGAATGTATTTCTTGTTTACTGCTAAATGCTAATTATTCCATGGAAATAACAGCTGTGCCAACAGCCAAATTGCTTTAAAAATGCAGGGTTGAGTTCTGCATTCCAATTAATGTTTAGATTAGACAACATGTGGGAACTTCCTCTGCAAAATTAACTTTCACATATTAGAATTATTTTACCTTCCCCTAAAATGCTTTGCTTGAGCAGAACTGTCCAAATGCAATATTTAAGCAATAACTAGTTATAAACTCACACACAAAGATGCACAACATCTTTGGAAATTTCATTACCCCTCAGATTTGCTACAGCCGTTTTGCCTGAGCAGGACCCTATGAATGTAGCTTGGATTTTCCTTTATATGAGAAGGGAGGGCAAATCAAGTTCATATGCACTCATCTGATTGTAGACTCAGGAAGAGGTACAACAAAACTAGTAAGCAGGTGAAGGACTCCGGCTAGGGTGATTTAAAACTGTGTTTAGAACTGAATTGGCGATTTATTTTTAGGGAAATGCTCATCACTCTGATGGGTGAGTGTGTGTGGAGAGAGTGACTATACATCCAGAAACCCCAAAGGGGTTTGTGTCCTGTGCAAACTGAACTATTCAGGTCAGGGGTGTAGGATAGATTTCCCTGCCATGCTGCAAAAGTTATTCCAAGTGCACTTTTGCCCATAGGAGGCCATTAACTTAGTTGAGGGGAATGAAAGAACCACTTTGGGGCGCCATTAAAACTGGGAGTTCCCTAGAGAACTCAACTTTTGGAAATCTAGCAGGTGTTTGCCCTGTTGCTCTTTGAGCCACTTTCTATCTCAATTAAACTGTTAATTTTGAAAGAAAATAGGAGGAAATGAGATCACACTGTAAATTTACATAACCTCTTACCTTCATTTGCAGAGTCCCATCTTGGAGTCTTTTTATGATCACGCTAGACTGCAGTAGACTGTTGGGAGGCAGCTTGCATATATCTCTATCTCTATCTGTCTATAATGTTTATTCCCCACACTTCCTCTGAGGAGATCCAGTACAATATTCATACAGTTCATAGGCAGTCTCCCATCCAGGCAGAACGGCTTAGCTTCAGCAGCAGCCTTGTGTGTCACCAAACTATACTCTGCTCTTTTCCTCTCAATGCACCATAACCAGATCCCCAAATGTCCCATCCTCACCCAACTATCTTAGGACATTAAAAGGTGTTGCCTTTAATGGAGTAATGGAAATGGAGGCAAATTATTTCATCTCACAGGAGGAAATTATACAATTCCAAAAAACAAACAAACGTGAAGTGTGATTAAAAAAACCACATGCAGAATATGAAGTGTGCCCTTTAAATACCAATTCCTAATTGCAGTGATGTGAATATGAAAATCAATGGTGTATGTTTATGAATTAGGCATTTCATTAAAATTGCCTTGATGTAAATAGCACAATCAGGTCTCTTATCAAGACTGATCGTCAATTTCCATTCTGGTATTTGTTAATAATAACTGACAAAATACCAGAGACCTTCTACGGCTGTAAGCATCATGGTAATGATGACTTTTTGGCAGATACTCAGATGCTAAACTCCAGATCGTTGGTGATAGATTAATGTTGGATGTGACGAGAATAAAAGGAAGTGATTTGATAAGCAGTAGAGAACATAATATGTATTACATCCAATCACAGCTAAGTATAACTTGCTATTGAAAATGCTTTTGCCCTATCACCCTCCTAGTCATTCCCTATCTACATCAAACTATTAATTTAATAGTAAATTGTAAATTGAGGAAGAATCAATATCATTATTGTTTGAGTGAGCTAGAATTGTTGCAGTTTCTGAAAGCTCAGGTATCAATATCCTTAGATAAGCCAGGAATTTCATTTTATGCATGTATGACATTGGGCAGGATCTCAAACATGGGGAGACCCCCACATGAGGCCCTGAGGTGATGCATCACCCCCTGGCTATGGCTCAAGTGGGGCCAGACCTCACAGCTCTCACCTCAAGTTGGCTGCAAGATCCCTGATGCATGAGCTACACCATGTTGGTCTTTCCCTCTGGTTAACTCTCATGGGCAGCATACCTCAGCAGGAATGCTTGAAGGGGTTTTCTTCAAACAGAATTCCGAAGTGGAAAACAGATCCGTGCCACATTGCGAAGTAAATCCCTGTTACCTTGCTGTAATCAATAACGCTGTGGCCTTTTCACCCCCCATGTTCTGGTCTTACTCGGAACCAACCCTTGCCTTCTGGAGCAGCCTAATGCACCTGCCCCTCAGCGGCTCTGCCATCTCCTTTGCATAGGAGATTTGCCATTTCATTTCCCCAGCAGTTGTTCACTATCAGCAGTACTGGGATTCCTTCCTATGTCACCAGCAGCATCGGAAATGCTGCAGTCTGGCTTCTTCTTGGGCTGCTTTGGCAAGATCAGAAGACCAAGCTCTCACGATGTCATACACTGGACACATATCGTAGCTTTGCCAACATATATTTTAGATTGCCAATACTGCATTTGCTGTATTCACTGTAACATCTTAGCAGAATCCTTTCAGCCACCTGCAAAAGGGCATTCTTTTATGCTTTTTGGAGGATCTGACGTTATTGAGCTATTCCCACCAAACCTTTTGCTTTGTCGCAGTGAACCAGGAAGCACTGAGCGTTCTATTGATTAAAGAAGCCAGGAGGAGTACAAAGCACAATGAGAAACATTCATTGTCTTTTATTCAAGATTGGGGATTTCTCTTTTGTTTCTTCAGTGCAAAGACTCGTAAGTAGCAAACTTGAAGGAACACACTACTGAAGAAAAACTTATGTACCTTTAGCAATCACCTTTATAGTAGGTTCTCAGAACCAGTATTAGTCAGAGAGAGGAGCATAATCATGAACTCTATGGGCCGAAACTTTGTGATCAGAATAGAGAGATGATATCTGTGCATGTGCAAAGCACGTTTGTATGCACATAGGAAAGGTGGCCAATTATTCATTCCAGCAGCTTTGTGCTTCAACTAAGCCTTTTTGGCCACAATGGCTAATATATAGTTTTATAGAACAAGGTTCCATTTTTAAGGGGACAAAACTACATTGAGGATGGAAAGCTCAACCATTTTGTTTTGAATCCCAAATGAGCCCATTCCCTCCTAAAAAGCTTACTATATGAAATGAATGGTGGGTTTGAACCTCTTCGACCTGTTTATGTTCTCCTGTGCCATGTGCTACTAGTAATGGGATTGTGTGAGTTTTATATTAGAAATTAGGAAACGCATCCACACAGCAGTGACTGGCAGGTACCTTTTGAAAGTATATATTTTCAAAGTACAATACAGAAAGAATCAAACACAAAAACAAAACAGTAGAATCTGGTAGAATTCAACCACAAAGGGGATAAGAAAAGAGGGAGATCAGGACATACAGTGACAATTTTTGTGAGCTAAAAAAGTATAGAAGTTTGGTATATTCCCTGTTTGGCCCTTAGACATCCCCCAAAGAGCTCTTTGGGAGGTGCTGGGGGCTGCAACCAGAGAAGAACCTGAGCTTACAGGGTTAAACAGCTCAGAATGTACGCCCTGCCTACAGTTGGGAGGGGGGAGCTACGTCAGTTCCGAGAGACTAAAGTCTTTGTTCTGTCTCTCTACTTTCGCTTTTGAGGAGAGAGGACGTGTTTTCGCGATGCTGTTCGCTGTGATAGATAATGGATAGCCTGCTGTAAATAAAACTGCTTTTAGCTGCTAATATCCTGAGTGGACTTCGTTTAAGCACACTGAAGAATGCACTGGAGTGTTTTGGTTTCTTCTAGCCGCTGACGAACTCTGCTATGCTCAGAAGTATCGGAATGTGCCCTTTGGAATGCAGAGGCCTACGCAATGGGGGAAGCGTGCCGGACGCTTATCTGAGCAATAAATCAAGATATCCCAGAGGTTATGGAGGCAGTAATTGCAATTAGAGGAAGCCTGCTTTGATGTGCTGTGTGCTTAAGAAGGCTGGAAAACTGAGAAGCTGTTGTTTTGCTGCTGGAATGCAAAAGTCCTGCTTTGAGGCTTTGCCTGGGAGAAAAGCAGGCAAGCTGTGTGCTGCAAAGCTGGATGCAAGCTGTGTGCTGCAAGGAGCCACTGGAGGCCTCTCCTTTGAAGCTGGCTGGTACGCGTGAGTACTTCAAAGCCCCAAAATGGGAGCACTGGGGGAGGAGATGGCTGAGCTCCAGGACTTTTATGATGTCCCGTTTGAAAAACTCACAACCCAGTCCTGGGATATCTGGGTTAGAAGAGTCAGGGGGTGGTTTTTGGCCACAGGGTTCTGGGATATAGCCCAGAAGGAGCCTGCCCCACCCATGCCAGTTGCTGCTGAAGATGGAGGAGCAGAACTGGAGGCTGCTCTCCTGGAAGATAGAGAGCTGAGAATGCAAAGGGAGCTCTGCATGTTGAGAGCAAGCGTGGACGCTATCCTGTTGCCCCACCTGGAGGGCGTTGAGTCGGCTCAGGCCGCCTGGCAGGTGCTGAGGAGTCTGTGTGAGAACTCAGCAGGAGCCCAGGGCCGGGAGGAAGCCGAGAGCAGGGAGGAAGCTGAAGGCCCAGAGGGGGCTGCTGGCCATGTTCCTAAAGTTACAGCTGGGAGTAGCTGCTTTGTCTCCGAGGGGCCGTGTGATGTTGAGGCCTACAACCAGAGTGCTGGGGAGCGTGCAGGCCCAGGCTGTGCACCCAAAGGTGGGGGTGCAGGGAACAAAGGAATGGCTGAAGAA